CTTACAGGTAGGGTATATAGTGGGGTATATAGGGTATTAACTCACAGGTAGGGTATATAGTGGGGTATATAGGGTATAAACTCACAGGTAGGGTATATAGTGGGGTATATAGGGTATTAACTTACAGGTAGGGTATATAGTGGGGTATAAAGGGTATTAACTTACAGGTAGGGTATATAGTGGGGTTTATAGGGTATAAACTCACAGGTAGGGTATATAGTGGGGTATATAGGGTATTAACTAACAGGTAGGGTATATAGTGGGGTATATAGGGTATTAACTTACAGGTAGGGTATATAGTGGGGTATATAGGGTATTAACTAACAGGTAAGGTATATAGCGGGGTATATAGGGTATAAACTTACAGGTAGGGTATATAGTGGGGTATATAGGGTATAAACTCACAGGTAAGGTATAAAGCGGGGTATATAGGGTATTTACTTAGAGGTAGGGTATATAGTGGGGTATATAGGGTATTAACTTACAGGTAGGGTATATAGTGGGGTATATAGGGTATTAACTTACAGGTAGGGTATATAGTGGGGTATATAGGGTATTAACTTACAGGTAGGGTATATAGTGGGGTATATAGGGTATTAACTTACAGGTAGGGTATATAGTGGGGTATATAGGGTATTAACTTACAGGTAGGGTATATAGTGGGGTATATAGGGTATAAACTCACAGGTAGGGTATATAGTGGGGTATATAGGGTATAAACTCACAGGTAGGGTATATAGTGGGGTTTATAGGGTATAAACTCACAGGTAGGGTATATAGTGGGGTTTATAGGGTATAAACTCACAGGTAGGGTATATAGTGGGGTATATAGGGTATTAACTAACAGGTAGGGTATATAGTGGGGTATATAGGGTGTTAACTAACAGGTAGGGTTTATAGTGGGGTATATAGGGTATAAACTCACAGGTAGGGTATATAGTGGGGTATATAGGGTATTAATTAACAGGTAGGGTATATAGTGGGGTATATAGGGTGTTAACTAACAGGTAGGGTTTATAGTGGGGTATATAGGGTATAAACTCACAGGTAGGGTATATAGTGGGGTATATAGGGTATTAATTAACAGGTAGGGTATATAGTGGGGTATATAGGGTATTAACTTACAGGTAGGGTATATAGTGGGGTATATAGGGTATTAACTTACAGGTAGGGTATATAGTGGGGTATATAGGGTATTAACTTACAGGTAGGGTATATAGTGGGGTATATAGGGTATTAACTAACAGGTAGGGTATATAGCGGGGTATATAGGGTATAAACTTACAGGTAGGGTATATAGTGGGGTATATAGGGTATAAACTCACAGGTAAGGTATAAAGCGGGGTATATAGGGTATTTACTTAGAGGTAGGGTATATAGTGGGGTATATAGGGTATAAACTTACAGGTAGGGTATATAGTGGGGTATATAGGGTATTAACTTACAGGTAGGGTATATAGTGGGGTATATAGGGTATTAACTTACAGGTAGGGTATATAGTGGGGTATATAGGGTATTAACTTACAGGTAGGGTATATAGTGTGGTTCGGGAGGCAGACACCCTCACCACATTCAAGAGTAGGCTTAAGACATTCCTCTTTGATAAAGCTTATAGTTAGGGCTGGATCAGGTGAGTCCTGAACCATCCCTTAGTTATGCTGCTATAGGCCTAGACTATCGGGGGATTTCCCATGGTGCACTGAGCTACTCTCTTCCTCTCTCTTTCTGCACTCATTCATGTCCCTTTAATGCATGTTACTAACTCCACTTCTTCCCCGGAGTTCTTGTGCTTTCTCGTCTCGCAGGTTCTCATGGATCCTGGTGGAGCCTCCTGCCATGGTCCTGCTTGACTGCCATTGCCAATACTGTTGTTGCTGTGCACCTGTCTGTCTGTCTCTCTCTCTCTCTCTCTCTCTCTCTCTCTCTCTCTCTCTCTCTCTCTCTCTCACCCCAACTGGTCGAGACAGACGACCACCCACCTAGAGCCGGAGGATCTGTCCTAGGTTTCTGCCTTTTAACAGGCAGTTTTCCTTGCCCTTGTCGCCAAGTGCTTGCTCATGGTGGTACTGTTGGGTCTCTGTAATTAATGTTAAAGAGTTCGGTCTAGACCTGCTCTATTTGAAAAGTGTCCTGAGATAACTTCTGTTATGAATTGGCGCTATACAAATAAAATTGAATTGAATTGAATAGTGGGGTATATAGGGTATAAACTCACAGGTAGGGTATATAGTGGGGTATATAGGGTATAAACTCACAGGTAGGGTATAAAGCGGGGTATATAGGGTATTAACTTACAGGTAGGGCATATAGCGGGGTATATAGGGTATTAACTAACAGGTAGGGTATATAGTGGGGTATATAGGGTATTAACTTACAGGTAGGGTATATAGTGGGGTATATAGGGTATTAACTTAGAGGTAGGGTATCTATAGTGGGGTATATAGGGTATTAACTTAGAGGTAGGGTATCTATAGTGGGGTATATAGGGTATTAACTTACAGGTAGGGTATATAGTGGGGTATATAGGGTATTAACTTACAGGTAGGGTATATAGTGGGGTATATAGGGTATTAACTTAGAGGTAGGGTATCTATAGTGGGGTATATAGGGTATAAACTCACAGGTAGGGTATACACGGAGGTTCCACCTCAGCCAGAGCAGCTCTGTAGGCTCTGAAAGATGACGAGCTGTCAATCAAAGAGCTGTACTCCTCCAGAGCCTTAAAACATACAACACACTTTAAAACCTGTGACTCATTAACATATTAATCAAAGAGTACGAATTAATTATTACAACACAGACCTCAGCTGTGCTCCTCTGCCAGTCCAGACGCCGCAGGGGGGCGGAGTCCAGCGCTGACAGGATGGACAGGTACGAGTTAAAGTTGTTCAGTTTGCGCAGGTGCTGCAGGGACACACAGGAAGTTACTGACAGGTAGAGTTATACACACCTACAAATGTTAGCAAACTATGTTGCTAATATCCTCTAATAACAGTGACTGCAGGGAACCGTTACCTGTTACCTGTTGCACACCTGAGTTAAAGCTGCTTTCATTGTAAAGGCACTCACTTACTAACTGCTGTTTACCTTCATGACCTTCAGGAACTTCAGCAGCAGTTTCTCTCTGTCCTGAGGTTTGTCATGAAGAATGATGACAGAACGAACCCTGAAATCACACATTCACACATTTAAATATTCACAGATTCAAACATTCACACATTCACACATTCAAACATTCATACATTCACACATTCAAACATTCACACATTCATATATTTAAATATTCACAGATTCAAACATTCACACATTTAAACATTCACACATTCATACATTCAAACATTCACACATTCATACATTCATACATTTAAATATTCACACATTCAAACATTCAAACATTCACACATTCATACATTCATACATTCACACATTCATACATTTAAATATTCACACATTCAAACATTCATACATTTAAACATTTACACATTCATACATTTAAATATTCAGATTCAAACATTCACACATTCATACATTCATACATTCAAACATTCATACATTTAAATATTCACACATTCAAACATTCATACATTCATACATTTAAACATTCACACATTTAATTATTCACACATTCAAACATTCACACATTCACACATTTAAATATTCACACATTCAAATATTCAAACATTCAAACATTCATACATTTAAATATTCACACATTCACACATTCATACATTCACACAGGTGATTATTAAGGTGGTGAAATAAAAGTGAGTTTTCATATTTAGGACCTCAGTGCTGTCGAAGGGTCGAACGTTATTTCTGTAAGTACAACCAATAATCTGACGTTCACGCCCACCTCGCTCAGTTATTGGTCAACTGTGTGAAAGTGGGCAGGATCTATTTTTTCCTTCATTACACAGAGAACAGTTTCACTTTGACTGAGGTCAAGACTACGAGTATCTTCCAGGAGAGACTGGACATGTGTCTGTTATCAGAGACGACAAAGACACCAAGAGGAAGACTTTACACCTGAAACTCGATGGATCAGCTGATAATTATTGATAGTTAATTGACTGATCGGTAACAGAGTGCTGTGTCAGTGTTTACCAGAAGGAGACATTGTTGAAGTGTTGGGTGAACTGTGTCATGTTAGGACTCTTCTCCTCATTCTGCTCTTTAGACCACAGCAAGACCTCTGGAAGCTAGACAGGTGAGACAGACAGGCGAGACAGACAGGTGAGACGGACAGACCCTTGTTGCTCTGTCCTACAATAACAATAACTTTTTTCTCCTTTTACCCAAGACGCTAGCTAACTTGCTTAAATTAGCTAGCTAGTTAGCTAGCGCCTTGCTAACATTAGCTAACCCAAGATGTGTCTCTATATATGGAGCTTTTCAACATAGCCTAGCACATAGCATATTTAAGTACAGGAATGGAGGAAGTTGACTGAGGTTCTACTTGTTGGCTAGTGAAGGGTCCACTGAGAGAGAAAAACAAGTGAAAGATGAAAAGTTAAAATTTGTACCTCGATCTTGTAGAAGAGCTCAGAGTCCAGCAGAGTCAACTGTTCAGCTAAATCGTGACTCCTGAAGTCCAGAAGAGTTCCTGGTCTGAAAGAAGACAAAAGAGGAGACGTGTTGATGTCTGAATGAATGAAAGAACTGTCAATCAGCATCGGTCAGAGGTCAGAGGTTACCTGGCAGCAACGCCCCTGGCTGCGAGTGGGCGGAGTGACTGAGGAGAGCCAATCAGCTGCCACCTCTGCTCCATCTTGGACAGGATGTTGGAGCGCAGCTGGTGGGCGGGTCCCAACTCTCCACCAATCAGGAGGCTAAACACCAGGTCCATCAGCAGCAGCAGCAAATCAGAGTCCAGCTCTATTGCACTGCACACACACATTATTATTCACACCTGGCCAAAAGTATGTGGACATCTGAGCACTCCCTTCTGATTGGTTTAGATTTGTATGTCTCACCATAGCTCGTCGACCACTCTGACCAGCAGGTGGAAAGTCTTCTTGGCAGCTGTCAGGTCTGCAGGATCTCGTCCTTCACACAGTTTTCTGTACGTGATGATGGTTAAAGACTCACAACAAACTTAATCTGGACTGAAACTGTCTCCATCATGTCCACAGAACACCTGGACGACTGATCTTTCCAACACGTTACAAAAAACAGGTGAGAAAAAGAAAATCTGCAACATTAAGTATCATATCGTCTGCTTATAAACACACTTTCTGACATTTTTCTGGTCTGTGATCTTCTGTCAGTCTCTCTCCTCTCTATAAACCATGAGAACTGATCACTGGTGTCACATTTCTTCCATTAATGAGATTCTGTGTGTGTTCCTGTTGGATTCAGATCTACAGTAATCTGTAATCTGTGTCAGTGGTTTCACTCTTAATCTGTATTATGTACACAGTGTGGAAATAATTTCCTGAAACAGTTTGATACCAGTTTCTGTCTCATAGGATATCTGTGCTGCAGTTTGGTGATGACATCATTCGGGCGGATGAAGCTCCGGTAGGTCGAGAGGAAGGCCTCGCGGTACATTCCCTGTTCTGCACACGCACACATTTTATTGTTTATTGTTACATCCATGTAGAGACCAACCATCAGCAGGCTAACAGGTCCCAGTAAATGAGGACTTACCGTTTACGCTGTCATTCTCTGTTGCGTAGACCAACAGGATCTCAGGAGACGCTGCTTTCACGTCCGGACCGTCCTCCTCCTGAGACAGGCAGAGGTCAGTGAGGAGACTGAATGAACAGTATTTAGCAGAGAGGTCAGAGGTCAGAACTGTACCTCAGGTTTCATTGTGATTCTGCGATGAATCTCCTCCTGTTTGGTCAGTAACACCTCCTCCTGCTCCTCCAGCTGCTCCCTGCTCCTCTGGACATGCTCTGCCTCCTCCTGGAGATTCTTGGAACTGCAGACAAGAGCACCGTCACTGAGTCTGTGTTTGTGTATACAGGTGTGTGTTGATGTGTGTGTCTATGTGTGTGTCACCTGTCTGTGGTCTGCTTCTCTTCATACTGACTGTCGGGTTCGACTGAATCCTGATGAGGACAAAAACAAAGATCAACAACTATAACGTCTCAGACCCACAAGTTAGTATCTGGAATAAATAAATGAGTCAATAAGTAATTAATAAGTTAGTCTCTTGTTCCAGTTTCCAGCTGACCTTTATGGAAATATCTGTGGAGTGTGAAAAATCAATTAATCAATCAATTACTAAATCTGTAGCAACCTCTGGTCTTTACCTGTAGTCTTTTCTTCGGTGGTAGAAGTGGAACAGGAGACAGCTCAGGTGAGGGGGCGGAGTCTGATGTGTGTGAGTCCAGGTTTGATTCCAGGTGTGTTTCCAGGAGTGTGTGTGTGAGCTGGTAGGTGGTCTCGACCTCTCGCTGCCTGTTGCTGTACCGCTGACTGGAGGTCAAAGGTCGCGTGTAGAACGAGGCTGCTGACGGAGTGCTGTACGACGAACAGTACTGGAGGTACTGATGGACTGAAGAGAGAGAGAGAGAGTCACCTCACCTGTTCAACGTTGGTGAACTTTGAACTTTGAGAAATGTGTTATTCCTTATTTCTATTAGAATAAACTGTACACAGAGAAACTGCTATCCTAGTGTAGTATAAAAGTTAGTGTAGGTTAGTGCATATTATAAGTTAGTAATCAAGTAATCACACAAAAGTTTGGATATTATGTTGTGAGCACTATGGTTTGTTCACACAGATAACTGGAAATCAAGTAGAGAGCACTATGTTTTAAGTAATGATGATTTTAAGTGTTAAGTAGAATAGATTTTATATAAGCTCACAATGATGTTAAATGAAGGCATTATGTTTTAATCAAAGATGAATGCATGATAAGCACAAATACTGTTGATGAAGTAGTAAGCACCATAGTTTTTAGTAAAGGTTTGATTTAATGTGTGGAACATACAGAATGTAGTTGTTGCAAAAAACAAGCACTAATTATACCAAATGTATATATGTGAGTGTAACACAAGTTTCTTATCATATTAGAAAGTTTATAAAGTTTTTAAAAAATACAGTAAAAGACATCTGTGACATAATGGTGTAAGAAAAAGGTAATAAATGTTTTTTAAAAAATAGAAGTACAGTAAACTAGATTCTAATGGTGTAATCCTGATGAAAGGAGAGTAAAAAGAAAATGTCATGGTCTACTAGTGTAGGCCATGAAGCCTGCAGGTTCTATGATAAGAACATAGGCCCGACAGGTGCAGGATAATGAGGCAAATAAGACACCAGCGTTCTATGATAAGAACATAGGCCAAATATGTGCAGGATAATTAGGCTGATAAGACACTAGTAAAACAGAAAAACCACAGGTTGGTGGAACCTGAATTTTAGAGTCTTTCCAGAGTGGAATTTACACCATTATGTCATAGGTTGAAAAGGTAGAAGATGGGCAGGACTTGTGACAGAAGGCAAGAGTATATAAGGAGAAGCTTTGTGAGGTAGAATTCAGTCTTTTCATGGATGACTCGGGCTTTGTTTGTCTGTCAAGATAATAAAGCTCTAATCTACTGCCAACTTTGATGAATCCTGATTGTTATTTCTCCACCTGAAAGAGAATAACTTTTAAACCTAATTTGGACTTAGAATTCGTGATGTTGGTCATAATCTTTTGATCAAAAAGAAAACTTGTTTAGACCGAGACCCAACACTATCTTAGCACAAAGCCTGTTTTTACTCACTGTGCCTTTTCTTCTCCGGGAGGGGGGGAGTCTTGCTGGGGGACAGAGGGGAGGGCAGTGGCTCATCAGGACCAATGACATCATCGTGCTGGGCGGGGCTAACCTCTGGAGGGGTGGGGTCAAATCCAAAAGACAAGGAGGCCTCAGAGTTTGTTCCCCCTGTGGTTCAGAACAGCAGACAGTCAGACAGACAGACAGACTGAGAGACAGACAGTCAGACAGACAGTCAGACAGACAGTCACCTGCAGCACTGCGGCGTCTTTTCTCTGGCAAGGCAGGAGGCAGTGTTGAGGGGTGAGGAAGAGGAGGGAGGGACTCAGAGGAGGAGAGGTCGGTGTGGAGGAAGTCGTAGTCTGGATCCTCCTCTGAGAGACAAACAGTTCAATAAAAGGCTGATATATTATTAATTATAATAATGTATAATAACATTTACTATATTAATATAGATTATTAATTATAATAATGTGTATTAACATTTACTATATTAATATAGAATATTATGTATTATAATAATGTATAATAATATTAACTATTAATATAGAATATTATTAATTATAATAATGTATAATAATATTTACTATATTAATATAGACTATTATTTATTATAATAATATATAATAATATTTACTATATTAATATAGAATATTATTTATTATAATAATGTATAATAATATTAACTATATTAATATAGAATATTATTAATTATAATAATGTATAATAACATTTACTATATTAATATAGAATATAATTAATTATAATAATGTATAATAATATTTACTTTATTAATATAGAATATTATAAATTGTAACAATGTATAATAATATTAACTATTAATATAAAATATTATTAATTATAATAATGTATAATAATATTAACTATATTAATATAGAATATTATTTATTTTAATAATGTTAATATTTACTATATTAATATAGAATATTATTAATTATAATAATGTATAATAATATTCTATATTAATATAGAATATTATTAATTATAATAATGTATAATAATATTTACTATATTGATATAGAATATTATTAATTATAATAATGTATAATAATATTTACTATATTGATATAGAATATTATTAATTATAATAATGTATAATAACATTTACTATATTAATATAGAATATTATTTATTTTAATAATGTATAATAATATTTACTATATTAATATAGAATATTATTAATTATAATAATGTATAATAATATTCTATATTAATATAGAATATTATTAATTATAATAATGTATAATAATATTTACTATATTGATATAGAATATTATTAATTATAATAATGTATAATAATATTTACTATATTGATATAGAATATTATTAATTATAATAATGTATAATAACATTTACTATATTAATATAGAATATTATTTATTATAATAATGTATAATAATATTTACTATATTAATATAGAATATTATTTATTATAATAATGTATAATAATATTTACTATATTAATATAGAATATTATAAATTGTAACAATGTACAATAATAATTATAATATTTACCATATAAAATGCATTATTAATATTATGAAGGAATCAATCGCTACATCGAGGTCTGTCCCCAGAGACTAGACCTGGTCCTCGTTGATCAGAGTGATTATTGGTTATTATCAATAATAATAATAATAATAATAATAATAATAATAATGATGGATTCAGTGTGAGTTTGTGCAGTAGGAGGCAGCAGTGAGTCTGACTTCAACACCTCACTGCAGACAGGAAGAGACAGCAAACACTACTTCCTGTTTCTGTCAACTGACAGGAAGTGATGTCACCCACACCCTGCTGCTGACTGGAAATGTGTGTGTGTGGGTTACCACATTTGTGTGTGTGTGTGTGTGTGTGTGTGTGTGTGTGTGTGTGTGTGTGTTACCACAGTGTGTGTTGTCAGCAGCAGAGTCTGCAGAAGAATAAGAGCAACGTTTCAAGCAGTCATCCTCCTGTAAAAACACACACACACACACACACACACACACACACAGTGAATGTAATTAAGTACATTTACTGAATAATGTGATAAAGTAAAGTACATTTGAGGTATTAAATTCTAAAACAACTCTTAGTGTCCCAATCAGCTGATTAATGATGCTAATTGAGTTTTTGAGAACATTTCTAACATTAAACTTTATACTTTATTAAACAGTTCTGCTTCAAATAAACACTATTTACATAAAAACACATGATCTATATAATATAATACAGTATAATATATATATAATACTGTATTATATAGTATAATACAGTATATTATATTATACTATATAATAATATATAAAACTGTATTATACTTTATATTATATATATATTATACTGTATTATATTATATATATTATATAGTATAATACAGTATAATAATATATAATACAGTATAATATATAATATAATACAGTATAATACTATATAATATATAGTATAATACGTATAATAATATATAATACAATATAATACAGTATAATAATATATAATACAGTATAATATATAATATAATACAGTATAATACTATATAATATATAGTATAATACAGTATAATATATAGTATAATACAGTATAATAATATATAATACAGTATAATAATATATAATACAGTATAATATGTATATATAATATAGTATTATACTATATAATAATATATAATAGTTTAATAGTATATAACATATAGTATAATACAGTATAATAATATATAATACAGTATAATATATATAATACAGTATATTATACTATATAATAATATATAATACTGTATTATATATATATATATTATACTATATAATACAGTATTATACTTTATATTATATATATTATACTGTATTATATTATATATATTATATAGTATAATACAGTATAATAATATATAATACAGTATAATATATATAATACAGTATAATATATTATATAATACAGTATAATACTATATAATATATAGTATAATACAGTATAATAATATATAATACAGTATAATATATTATATAATACAGTATAATATGTATATATAATACAGTATTATACTATATAATAATATATAATACAGTATAATATATATATAATACAGTATAATATGTATATATAATACAGTATTATACTATATAATAATATATAATAGTTTAATAGTATATAACATATAGTATAATACAGTATAATAATATATAATACAGTATAATATATATAATACAGTATTATACTATATAATAATATATATAAGATAGTATAATAATATATAATAATATATAATACAGTCTAATATATATAATATAATATAGTATAATAGTGTAGTATAAAGTAGTATAAAGTACTACACTATTATATTATATTATATTATATTATATATTATTATTAAGTGAATTTATTCTGTGTCTCAGTGTGAATCTGTTTTAAAAGCTGTTACCATGACAACCAATGTGTAGTTACCTGTTCCACCTGTGTGTCTACTTCAGGCTCTCGTCTCATTGGTGCTACTATGGCAACCCTGCAGGGGGAGGGGCCTGACGAAGACTGACGTTTCTTAGGAGGCAGAGCTGGAGGGCTGACAGACAGACAGACAGACAGACAGACAGACAGACAGACAGATTAATGATCAGTGATCATCACAATAATACTAACAATAACAACATTAATAATAACAACAATCACAATAATACCATCTACACATATTAACAGTTCAAACTATAATAAACAATCAGACTTAAATAAATCTTGTTTATATGAATATAATTCTCTGAATCTTCCTCAGTATTTAACCTCCTCTTCTACATCAGCAGGCTGATCAATAATCAATATAAAATCAGGTCTCTCTGACACTTTATGTTTCAATGTTCAACTAAGTTATAAAACCTGACTGGATATTTTATCTAATTAGTTTTTAATGAATGTCCTCTCTGTGGGACAACGTACACTAAATAAGCTTTATAGTAAACTTTGTCAGCTGGAGCGTCAAAACAATACAGTAAAACAGAAAAGAACTCATTTTAAAGACTATTTTGTAATTGTATTAATATTAGAATAAAAAATACAGAAGAAATCTGTAAAATAAATAATAATAATAATAAAAACCTGTAAACTTACAGATTGATTAAGGTTGTAATGCGGGACGAGAGTCAAAGGCTCTGTCAATATGTATATATGTATGTATATAATATATGTGTTCACATCTTAAATTATAATATACACATGTAGGAAATATAGGACACAGCCTGCTCTGCTAACGAGGCTGTGTGATGTCACATGAGCTGCTGGGTTTTATTTTCATTAAACTGTTGATTTCCATAAAAAAGGAACAAAGAGAGGCTGAAACTGTCGCTCTCACTTCCTCTTCCTGCTGTCGTTCACTAAGAGAGAGAGACAGGAAGGCCAGAGGCGGGGGGGGGGGGGGGGGTTGGTGATCTACTTCCTGTTTCTATCTATTTTTGCTCTCCTTATATTCAGACTGAAACTGCCCTCTCTCTCTCTCTCTCTCTCTGTCTCTGTCTCTCTCTCTCTGTGTCTCTCTCTGTCTCTGTGTCTGTCTCTCTGTCTCTGTGTCTGTCTCTCTGTCTCTCTCTGTCTCTGTGTCTGTCTCTCTGTCTCTCTCTCTCTCTCTCTCTGTCTCTCTCTCTGTCTCTCTCTGTCTCTGTGTCTGTCTCTCTCTCTGTGTCTCTGTCTCTCTCTCTCTGTCTCTCTCTCTCTCTCTCTCTGTCTCTGTCTCTCTCTCTCTCTGTGTCTGTCTCTCTCTCTGTCTCTCTCTCTCTCTGTCTCTGTCTCTCTCTCTCTGTCTCTCTCTCTCTGTCTCTCTCTCTCTCTGTCTCTGTCTCTGATGTTAGCATTTAGCTCAAAGCATGAAGAGCTGTGTGGTTCAGACTCACCTGAGTCCCTGTTGGGGGGGCACCTGGATGTGGGGCTCTGGGAAGGGGATCGGGGGTTTAGGAGGAGCTAGAACTCCCTGGTCCTCCTCTTTCCTCTCCGTCCTCACCTCCTCCTCCTCCTCCTCCTCCTCTGCAGGAGCTCCAGGACTCCAACAGACAGACGTCCTGTCTGCTGTTTGCACGGCAGGCTGTGATTGGACAGGAGACACAGGGGCGGGGCCATCTTGTCTCTCTGCAGCCAATCGAACCAGTTCCTGACAGACAGACAGACAGACAGACAGACAGACAGACAGACGATGATTACAACAACATATAGACACTGAAGGCAGGACAGGATGGACAAAACAATAATAGTAGTGAGAGGAAGAGAAGAAGGACAATAAGAACAGACCACAAGGAGAGGACGCAGGCGACGCTCACTGTGGCCTCGGACACGAAGAACCCGACAGAAAGATCAGACAGGACGAGATCGGACAATAAGAAGACCAATGTGGACACAAAGACACAACCTAGACAGTAACACAGAAATATTTAAGACAATTCTCATTTTACAGAGTTTAGGTTGTAATAAATAAGTTAAGTATTTAAAATGTATTTGAATTTGCCCCCAAACTTATCAAACTTTAGAAATAAGTTTCTAATGAGGATGGACAAGAGGTAAAAACAAGACAGGACAATGTAGGATGAAGTAGTAATGGACAGAAGGACAGACAGGAAACAGACAGCCTGCAGATCAGTCCAGTCTATTATTTGCCCTCACCTTGACCCCGTCCAGAACAGCCCTGATCATCGTGGTAACGCTTGCTGTGGACTCTTTGTTGTCGGGGGCGACGCCTTGCAGCATCACCTGATCGGCCCAGCGAATCAGCTGAGCCACAGACTGGTAGAGACGAGTGAGACAGGAAGAGACTGTCTTACTGCGGAGAGGACAGACAGGCACGGGGTCAGGAGACAGGAGGTCTGAACTGATGTTCAGGGTCAACGGGTCTCACCTACCTTTTGTGCAGGTGTGGTTCCAGCTGGACCAGGGTCTGGGCCGCCTCCAGGACTCCCCCAGACGCCCCTCCCAGTAGACCGCCCACCACAGACTGGTTCAGGACCATTTTGTCGACTCCCAGTCTGTCCACCAGAGCCTTAAAGTACTGCAGGGAGCTGATGACGGCCCGCTGCTGGTCCACTAACACACCCACAGACTGACAGAGAGACACAGCTTTAATGGACTACATCTCCCATCAGCCCTCTCACCTCATGATGCCACAGTGGTGTCATCAGGCTTTCTAACAGCTAATAAGTAGCTAATAATAAGTAGCTTTGTTTCTAAACAACAGTCTGTTTTTTAAGGAGGAGAGGAGCTCGTCCCAGGTGAGGGGCTGTAATAAAATACACCAGATGCATTGTGGGAAATGTAGGATTCAGAGTTATCGGATTAAAAGTCAGAAATGGTCCAATATTTAATATTCCTGAGGTTCCTCTCCATCCTCGCTCCATCCTATACTCTTGTGGCGAGACCCTGCCGTTGACCTTTGACCTTTCAGGAGAGTGGAGACGCTGTTAGCAGCAAAGCTTCAGTGGACAGATTCAAACCTTTAGATCGTCCAGTAACCAACACTTCCTGTTACCTTACACTACTATGCAGACGACACTCACCTGTTCACTCTCATGTCTGTACAGTAAATATAGAGCTACAGCCAGTTAGCATAGCTTAGCATAAAAACTGGAAACAAAGGGAAACAGCTAGCCTGACTCTGTCCAAAGGGAACAACATCCACCTCCCAGCAGCTCACTGATCAATATGTCGATCAATGTCCACAGACTATTGGCCATATTGTGATTATAGATAGTGGTGGACAGGAAGTGTGTGTGTGTGTGTGTGTGTGTGTGTGTGTGGGTGGGTGTGTGTGTGTGTACCTTGTGTTGCAGTGTGTGTGTGTGTGTGTGTGTGTACCTTGTGTTGCAGTGTGTGTGTGTGTGTGTGTGTGTACCTTGTGTTGCAGTGTGTGTGTGTGTGTGTGTGTGTGTGTGTACCTTGTGTTGCAGTGTGTGTGTGTGTGTGTGTGTACCTTGTGTTGCAGTGTGTGTGTGTGTGTGTGTGTGTACCTTGTGTTGCAGTGTGTGTGTGTACCTTGTGTTGCAGTGTGTGTGTGTGTGTGTGTGTGTACCTTGTGTTGGTGTGTGTGTGTGTGTGTGTGTGTGTGTGTGTGTGTGTACCTTGTGTTTGTGTGTGTGTGTGTGTGTGTGTGTACCTTGTGTTGCAGTGTGTGTGTGTGTGTGTGTACCTTGTGTTGCAGTGTGTGTGTGTGTGTGTGTGTGTACCTTGTGTTGCAGTGTGTGTGTGTGTACCTTGTGTTGCGTGTGTGTGGGGGTGTGTGTACCTTGTGTTGCAGTGTGTGTGTGTGTGTGTACCTTGTGTTGCAGTGTGTGTGTGTGTGTGTACCTTGTGTTGCAGTGTGTGTGTGTGTGTGTGTGTGTGTACCTTGTGTTGCAGTGTTTGTGTGTGTGTGTGTACCTTGTGTTGCAGTGTGTGTGGGGGTGTGTGTACCTTGTGTTGCAGTGTGTGTGGGGTGTGTACCTTGTGTTGCAGTGTTTGTGTGTGTGTGTGTGTACCTTGTGTTGCAGTGTGTGTGTGTGTGTGTGTGTGTGTACCTTGTGTTGCAGTGTTTGTGTGTGTGTGTGTGTACCTTGTGTTGCAGTGTGTGTGTGTGTGTGTGTGTGTGTGTACCTTGTGTTGCAGTGTTTGTGTGTGTGTGTGTACCTTGTGTTGCAGTGTGTGTTCCTGCAGGTTTAGGTCAGGTGGTTTGAGCCTCTGTGACGGGGTGTGTTTGATTCGTTCAGAGCGTTTGACCCGCGGCTGGAGCTTATCCTTCAGCTTCATTGTCAGAGACACAAACTGGGAGGCTGGAGAGGAAGTTCATCATCATCATCATCATCATCATCATCATCATCAAAAACTACAAAATAAAAGCATCCGTTGCAATAATAATACATTCTGAAGTAAAGGAAGGAAGTGAATGTTGTTAGCCTGTGGTGGCTAACAGCTAGCATGTGACAGATGGAGGAGGAGAGGAGCTTACCTGTCTTGCTGTCAGCCCGGGAGGACATGTCTGCAGGTGGTCAGACAGACAGACAGCTGGTAGAGTACAGGTCAGATCAGAGCGACAGTTGAACACTCATATTATCTATCTGTCTCTCTCTCTTCTTCCTGTCTCTCTCTGTTTATATATTTCTACCGTCTCACTCTTCGTCCTGCAGTTCTCTGTCTCTCTCTCCCTCTGTCTGTGTTTCGGTCTCTCGTCCTTCCTCCTTCTCTTCTTCCTCTTTCTGTCTGTTGAACTGAACTCATGTCAGCGAGGAGGAGGAGAAGGAGGAGGAAGAGGAGGAGGATGCAGGTTGGAAATAGAGCATCAGTCAGTGTGTCATCCTACAGCACCACCTGCTGGCCGGAGGCAGACAGCACACATCTGTCTAGACTGATATCCGTCAGAATAAACCTCCATGAATCCATGAAAAGAGAATAATTGTGTTTTTAAAGTTCCTCCAGTAATTAATCTGTTTCTCAGAATATTAACTTAGTGTCACAAAGTCATTATTCAGAAATACTAAGTTAATATTTGAGACACCGATCACAACACAGAGTCCACAACACAGAGTCCACAACACAGAGTCCACAACACAGAGTCCACAACACAGAGTCCAACACAGAGTCCACAACACAGAGTCCACACACAGAGTCCACAACACAGAGTCCACAACACAGAGTCCACAACACAGAGTCCAACACAGAGTCCACAACACAAAGTCCACAACACAGAGTCCACAACACAGAGTCCAACACAGAGTCCACAACACAGAGTCCACAACACAGAGTCCAACACAGAGTCCAACACAGAGTCCACAACACAGAGTCCACAACACAGAGTCCAACACAGAGTCCACAACACAGAGTCCACAACACAGAGTCCAACACAGAGTCCAACACAGAGTCCACAACAGAGTCCAACACAGAGTCCACAACACAGAGTCCAACACAGAGTCCAACACAGAGTCCAAAACACAGAGTCCAACACAGAGTCCACAACACAGAGTCCACAACACAGACTCCAACACAGAGTCCAACACAGAGTCCACAACACAGAGTCCACAACACAGACTCCAACACAGAGTCCACAACACAGAGTCCAACACAGAGTCCACAACAGAGAGTCCAACACAGAGTCCAACACAGAGTCCACAACAGAGTCCAACACAGAGTCCACAACACAGAGTCCAACACAGAGTCCAACACAGAGTCCACAACAGAGTCCAACACAGAGTCCACAACACAGAGTCCAACACAGAGTCCAAAACACAGAGTCCAACACAGAGTCCACAACACAGAGTCCAACACAGAGTCCAACACAGAGTCAACAACACAGAGTCCAACACAGAGTCCACAACACAGAGTCCACAACAGAGTCCAACACAGAGTGCAACACAGAGTCCACAACAGAGTCCAACACAGAGTCCACAACACAGAGTCCAACACAGAGTCAACAACACAGAGTCCACAACACAGAGTCCAACACAGAGTCCAACACAGAGTCCACAACACAGAGTCCAACACAGGGTCCACTGTGAATTCATAATTTAAAAGTGTCTTATGTGGATATCAGTGGAGCCGAATTATGGATAAACTGGACGATGTTTCAATTTCCACACTCAAAGGTATGCTACAAGGGTTTCTTTTATGTCGTGCTGATGTTATATTTTACGTAGCTAACCTAGCTTAACGAGTTGTGAGGCTAATGGGCTGTGACATAAAAACGAGCAAGTACTTGGTAGGGCTCCCTCTAAAAATATGTGAAGTCTAATTGGGCTTTGGGACTTTTGTTGTATTTTCTCATTACTAAGGGCTGTAATTGCTGAAAATACAGTAACACCTGGTGGTTTGTAAAACATCAGCTGTTAAGATATTGGTCTAAAGCACATCACTCATCATTCATTTTGATTGTGTTTGTCTATGTGCATCAGTCCAAGGCGCCTGAGTGCTATTTATTAAATCTGTAACATGTTTGTTTAAAAGTGCTATAGCAAATACTTGTATGTGTAATGTATTTAAGTAAAAGTAAAAAAAACAATAGGCATTCTCTATCAAGCATTAATGCAAAATGTGAATGCATTTTATCTAGCAAGGCTTGAGCATCAAATTGGCATTAAAGGAACCGCACTAAGCTGGTTTAAGTCATATTTATCAGATTGTTCGCAGTTTGTACATGTTAATGATGAATCTTCAATAAATACTACAGTTAGTCATGGAGTTCCACAAGGTTCTGTACTTGGACCAATACTATTTACTTTATATATGCTCCCTTTAGGCAACATTATTAGGAATTACTCCATTAACTTTCACTGTTATGCAGATGATACGCAGTTATATCTATCAATCAAACCCAATGTCAAATTAATCAACTTTTTATCTAAACTTCATTTCCAAAGGCCAAAGGGGAGGTCCCATAATGTAGGTGTTTTAAAAAAAAAATAAAATAAAAAAAAAGAGGGGGGAAAAAAAAAAAAAAAAACAACAAAAAAAAAAAAAAAAAAAACCCCCCCCCAAAAATTAAAAAAAAAATAAAAAAAAAAAAAAAAAAAAAAAAAAAAAAAAAAAAAACCAAGCAAAAGTAAAAATTATTAAAACAAATAAATAAAAAAATATACTAAAAAAAAAAAAAAAAAGAAAAAAAATCCCCCGCACAACTACATGATCACCATTGGAAACTTGCCAGTGACCACTTTCAACATTGAAATGATGGATGAGGCCTGCTTACCTATGTATTTATTAATTCAATTCAATTCATTTTATTTGTATAGGTATAACAAAGTTAAACTCAGGACACTTTTCAAATAGAGCAGGTTAGACCGAACTCTTTAAAATTTCTATGTCCTTTTATCTGTTAGCTTGGTGTCTGTTCCATTTGTACATGTTAAGATGAATCCTCCATAGATACTCAAGTTAGTCATGGAGTTCCACAAGGTTCTTTACTTGGACCAATATTATTTATTTTTTTTTTCCCTAAAGAACATTATTAGGATCACTCCATTAACTTTCACTGTTATGCAGATGATACGCAGTTATATCTATCAATCAAACCCAATGGAATTTAGCAATTATCTAAATTACAAACATGTTTTAAAGAAAAAAAAATATGGAAGACCATTTCTGATGTTAAACTAAAAAACAAAATTCTTGTTCTTGGCCCCAAAAACCTTGGTCATTGTTAAAGATATAGTCACTCTAGATGGCATTAACTGCCTCTAGCACCACTGTCAGGAATCTTGGAGTTATCTTTGATCAGGATTTGTCATTTAACTCCCACATTCATTTACGTAATATTAGAAAAATTAGACACATACTATCACAGACAGATGCAGAAAAACTAATCCATGCATTTGTTACTTCAAGGCTGGATTACTGCAACTCTTTATTATCAGGTTGCCCCAATAAGTCCATTAAAATGCTCCAATTAATTCAGAACGCTGCAGCACGAGTACTGACAGGAACTAGAAAAAGAGATCACATCTCTTGTACTAGCTACTCTGCATTGGCTCCCTGTAAAATGTAGAATTGAATTTAAAATCCTCCTCCTCACCTATAAACCTCCTCCTCACCCTCTTCATGGTAAATGGACCTGTACTTGTATAGCGCCTTTCTAGTCTTCCGACCACTCAAAGCGCTTTTACACTACGTGCCACATTCACCCTTTCACACACATTCACTCAGTGATGGCAAAGTCCATCGAACAGAAACTAACATTCATACACACTCACACACCGATGCACGGCATCGGGAGCAATTCGGGGTTCAGTATCTTGCTCAAGGATACTTCGACATGTGGCACCAGGAGCGGGGGATCGAACCCACAACCTTCCGATTGAGGAACGACCTGCTCTGCCTCTGAGCCACAGGCCCCTTCATATCTTAAAGGGCTCATAGTACCCTATTACCCCACTAGAACATTACGTTCTCTAAATGCAGGGCTACTTGTGGTTCCTATAGTCTCTAAAAGTAGAACAGGAGCCAGAGCCTTCAGTTACCAAGCTCCTCTCCTGTGGAACCAGCTTCCAGTTGTGGTTCGGGAGGCAGACACCCTCACCACATTCAAGAGTAGGCTTAAGACATTCCTCTTTGATAAAGCTTATAGTTAGGGCTGGATCAGGTGAGTCCTGAACCATCCCTTAGTTATGCTGCTATAGGCCTAGACTATCGGGGGGATTTCCCATGGTGCACTGAGCTACTCTCTTCCTCTCTCTTTCTGCACTCATTCATGTCCCATTAATGCATGTTACTAACTCCACTTCTTCCCCGGAGTTCTTGTGCTTTCTCGTCTCGCAGGTTCTCATGGATTCTGGTGGAGCCTCCTGCCATGGTCCTGCTTGACTGCCATTGCCAATACTGTTGTTGCTGTGCACCTGTCTATCTGTCTGTCGCTCTCTCTCTCTCTCTCTCTCTCTCTCTCTCTCTCTCTCTCTCTCTCTCTCTCACCCCAACTGGTCGAGACAGACGACCACCCACCTAGAGCCGGAGGATCTGTCCTAGGTTTCTGCCTTTTAACAGGCAGTTTTTCCCTTGCCCTTGTCGCCAAGTGCTTGCTCATGGTGGTACTGTTGGGTCTCTGTAATTAATGTTAAAGAGTTCGGTCTAGACCTGCTCTATTTGAAAAGTGTCCTGAGATAACTTCTGTTATGAATTGGCGCTATACAAATAAAATTGAATTGAATTGAATTGAATTAGGATATTGTGCAATAACAGCAGCTGCAAAGTTGTGTTAATTGTTATAGTATGCTGCAACAATAGCAGATATAACATTATAACTGCCATAAATATCATTTGAAATAATTTCAATGTTTGTTTACATATATTATGTATGTGGTTTATTTTGTGAATATTTATTTGTATTGTGCACTGGGTAGGAACTAATGTTTGTCGCCTGTTTCGCAAGGGACGCAGTTAATTGCGGGAATCTACCTGAAGAGAAAGATTACAAGAAGAAGTTTATGCTCTGTTTTAAGTTGTTTAAAGTGTTTCAAGGTGATCTTTGTATTTCCTATTGTTGATTTTGAAAGATGTTTTGTTTAAGAGGACTCATTCCCCCTGGGTTGTATGCAGCCAGCGAGGTATGTTTACTTACGTTGCTCGTCATGTTAATTAGTCTTTGGCGTGTCAATTTTATGTTACATGAATGTTTGTATATTTGTATATTGTCCTGTAACAGTTCGATGGTGGATTGATGACGATGAAGTGGAGTTTGAGAGAGCAATAAATCCATCTGTATGAAGAACTAGTGTTGATTATTTCCTGGAGGGAGTGATAAACATTCTGTTTTTTGGTGGATGTTTAATTAAGCAATTGTATTGCAAAGTGAATAAAAAATATTAAAAATGAGAATGTTTTGGTGTCTTCATTTCAGACAAAGTCACTTACTATTTGAAGAAATTGTGTCTTATTTTAACTTTTATTCTTATTATTAATCCCAGATTAAGGTGTAATTTCTTAAAGTTAACTCAGTCAAGAGACCAAAATTCAAATTTTAAGTAACTTAATCTTAAATTAAAGCTGCAAGCAGCGTTGGGCGGGACCTTGCACTCCACGCAATTTGGGGCGCGTTACGGCCGCGTCAAGTGCTGTCGCAACACGTGCGGACCACGACATGAAAATGTCACGTAAATCAGCTCAAAATCGCCACGCAGCGCTTACCTCCTGTTGCCAGTAGGTGGCGCAATCTCTATGTCTGAATATTGTCATGTAGACGTGTTCAGGGCGGGACTCTTATCAAACACGTGAAATTTCATTGAGAAACATACAGTCACAAATAGCTCAACTTTTGATAACCAATGTGTCTAGGTTGAAGTGATCGAATTTGACATCAATCTGATAAAATCTGTAGGAGGAGTTAGTTAAAACAGAAGCCCTTAAATGCCGGAAATAGCATCACAGTTTGACATTCGATTCAACCTGGCCAACTTTGAGGGCACGCCACGGACACGCCCTTTAACGTACAGTCACAAATAGCACAACTTTGAATCAGCACCATTTATTGACTGTACTGACTAATTTTGAAGCAGATCCGATAAATTCTCTAGGAGGAGTTCGTTCAACTACAACGCGAAAAATCACAGAAAATGACCAAAAAAATCAAAATGGCTGACTTTGAGGGCACGCCACGGACACGCCGTTCAACGTACATGCACAAATAGCACAACCTTTAATCAGCACCATTTTGTGACTGTAGTCACAAATTTTGAAGCAGATCCGATGAAGATCCCGGCATGTTACACGTGCCTACCTAGTTTCGTACATATCAGTGAAACGTTGCGCCGGGGCTGCTGTTTTTTTATCCTGTAGGGGGCGCTACAAACACGATTTTTGGTATGTGAGCTACATGCACTGCTCTACACGTACCCTGTGAATTTCATATTCATAACTATTACGGTCTCCACACAGTGATTTACCCTGCCACCAGAGCGCCACCCAGTGGCGTAATTTTTTCCTTTTTAGGTGAGCCTCACGGACCCATGGGCAAGAATCGTACCAAATTTCATTTAAATCACATGGGATATAAGAGATATAAACTTCTTCATTTTAAAGAGCGCCACCTAGTGGCAATGGTCTGAAATTGTGCTTGGTGCCTAAGGAAGACATGTGGAACTATGGACCCAAGCTTGGTGTCAATCGGACAAACCAATGTTGAGAAATGGTCCTCTTCCTTTTTTGACGAAAAATCTACAGGAAGTCTTAATTTTATAGCGGGTTTATTTTTTGAAATTTCAAAAATGTTCAAATTACTTTTTTTGCCAGGGTGGTCCCCAGGTGATAGGTGAAAAATTTCGTGCGAATCGGACAAAGCTATAGGAGGACCACAGAAAAGAAAATAAATTATAAGCGGAAGTGGGTGTGGCCTATATGGAGAGATTCAGCTCCATTCACCGAATGGGTGGATTTAAGTTTTTTGAATGTGCGACAAAATATGCAAAAGTTATAGTAACCAAAAAGTGAAAATACTTTTCTCAATGTTAGCGCCACCTAGTGGCCGACCCGAAAAAGACGCATAGAATATAACATTTTTCACCAGGCCTGAGAACTTTGCCAAATAAAATTTAGTTTTCGTATATGTTCAGGGGAGGAAAAACGCAGTCGAAGGGGGCTAAAAATAATAATAAGAAGAAACGAAGCAAAAGAATTTACTTAAATTTAAGATTTTCTGTCTAGTTTTAAGGCACATTTTAGTCTGTCAGAGACAAGATCTTTGTGCTTATCTTAAGAATTCTTGTCAAGTAAAAAAAGCTTACCCCATTGGCAGATTTTTTTGCCAGATACAAGATAATTTGATTGAATTTAAGAATATTTTGCTTCTTTCTAGTAGGTCTGTTTTTGCAGTTGTGGAACATATTGTCTGATTGTGCTGTTAGCTGGATAATGTTAGCTTGCTCGCTAACACAGATGAACTGTTAGCTAGAATCTTAAATAGAAGTTATTTCGTTTGTGGTGTTTTGGACCTTTTTATTGTTCTTATTTTATTTTGTGTATGTTTGTCTCCATTGTAAAATCACTCAGTTTTATATTTAGCTTGATTTCTATTTTACCGTTTTATTGACACTGTGTGAGTTTAACTGTTGTTTGTTGTTATTGTTATTGTTTTTGTGTTGACCGCAGGAAGACTAGCGACCACTTTGTGGAAGCTAATGTGGATCCAATTTAACAATAAAGAATTAAACTTAGCTTCATCCATCTGACTGGTTGCCGTTTGCAGGTTACTGTGTCGGTTAGCGTTGTGGGGCGACCAGCGATGGATAACTTTATTAGCGAGCTAGTTAGTAGCATGGAGCTAACATAAATAAAATATAGGAACATTGAAGATAGTAACGTTATTCTAAATATGATAGTCAGTTATTTTACAGCGTTCAGTGTTTGTCACTGTTGGCCGACGCCCAGGATGCAGTTCACTGAACAACCACTGGTGGCGCTGTTAGCTACAGTTTAATGAATGTTACAGAATAATAAAACCTGTTTATATATTTATGTTGACATTATTAAAATGAGTAAATGAGTCAGAAACAATAACTGAACTCTCGTCATCTTCATTCACACAAACTTTATTCATCAACACGTCTCTGTTGGCCCTGATCACATGACACTAAGGTACACAACAAAAGTACACACATACACACACTGTAACACACACACACACACACTCACACACACACACATACACTACAGTCTGGGCCGCTGCATATTTCAGTGTTTAGATCTATATATATGCTCCTCACATATATATGGTAAATTCCTATCTTCATATATTCTGTAAACATTAATATTAATACCATTACAGTGTGAACTATCCACGATCACAGGTGTGTGTGTGTGTGGGAGGCCGAGCTGCGTTCAACGCTCTGCTGCAGAGCAACAACATTAAATCATTAAAGCACATTCAAAATCATATAACTTTAAATTCATGCTGACATTAATCTGACACAGACGCTCTGCTAACACAGTGAAACAGGTGTTATTGAATGCAGCTCAGAGCTCGACTAACTCAACAGAATCACCACAACATGATACACGTACACAGAATAAATAGATCAGCAGTTAGAGTTCAGGTTCCTTCCGTCTGTCGTCCAGTGGGGCGTTAACACTGGATCCATTCATCTACTCATCATTAACAGGATTTTAAATTAACATTCCTACAATATTTCAATAAAGACATCAGAGGAATGAATACATTTCTACAGCTTGTGTTCATATTTTATATTGTTACAACACTTTATTTTACATTTCCTGATCATTTCCTGGTGAGTTTCCTGTAAAACGTTCTGTGATTGTGGACTAAATACTTAATTAATGAATTCCAGATGAAACAGAGACACGGTTCAGTTGGTACTTTCCCAATCAATTTGATTAATCAATTAAATCCAATTGACATTCTTTTCAGAAAACTCACACAGAAATTATTGGTAAATGCCCCAAAAAATTAAGTATGAACAGAAGGTTGTTAATGGCTGTTTGCTGCTTACTGGTTTCACAACCAGTTGGAACCAACTGGAACCACCTGACTCCGGCTGGAATCAGTTAGAACCAATTACAACCAGTAGGAGCCAGCTTGAAATAGTTGGAGCCAGTGGGAGTGAGTTGGAACCAGTCAGAGTCAGACAGAACCAGTTCCAACCAGCTTAAATAAACTAATAAGCCCAGCTGGAACAAGTTATAACCAAATCGGAACCAGCTAAAACCCCCTAGAACCAGCTGGGATGGGTTAGAACCAATGCTAACATTTCCTTAACAAGATGACAGCTAACATCAATAATGTCACTTTAACAAGAACCGCAGATAATAAATAAATAAATAGATCAATAAATAATGAGTAAACTTTACACTGTAAAGAAACATTTCATCATAAATAAGAACTTCAGCTTCATGAAGAAAAATAAAGGAGGTGATGCAGCTAGTTCACTGGTGCTAGCAGTGCTAGCTGAACTCCAGAGAGGAGTGAGAGGTCTTCACTTCAACACCATCTCTGTCTACAGTACGTCATAATGTGAGTGTGAGGACGCAGGCAGACAGACAGTTGTCTCACTCTCCTGGGCAGACAGACAGCTGGACGACAGACACTCAATATTGCAATAGCTGATCATTTGCTATAATGTGCTGATAATCAATATCATTATTATTATTAATAAGGTTCACAGTAACACAGCATCAGCAGACACACAAACACTCGGTTCAGTTAACCTTCGATAGATGACTGGGGGCTCTCTCCGTGGGCGGGGCTACCTTTACTGGGACGACTGGGAAAAACAACAAACATGAAGAAAGAGAAAACACAAAAACTGTAAAACAACAGAGACAAGCAGGAGGATTCGAGGGTCAAAGGTCACAACAATCAATGAACAATGCTCTGTTTGTACCAGTAGAACCCGGTGGGAACCAGTAGAACCCATTGGGAACCAGTAGAAACCAAAACATTTCAGGTTTCAGTTTCAACAAGGAAGAACCAACTGGAAGTGGTCAGAACTGGTTGCTATCAGTTAGAACCAACTGGAACAAGCTGGGACCAGTAGAAACCAGCTGGAACCAGCAGACACAAGCATCCAGTAACCCGTGGTATAACCCAATTGGAACTAACGAGTTAGCTTCACATTCTAGTCTCGCATTCAAACCCTAAAATAAAACTCCATTTATTCTGTTATGAGTAAAGGAGTCAGAAGAAGACTAACTGCTAAGCTAAAGTGATGTAACTAGCAGAACTGAATAGTGTGTAAATATGTTTGAATGAAAGGCGGACGCTACAACAACCACTCTCAACAGGAAGTGATATGCTGATCACAGCAGAGAGGGTCACGAACTTTAGGTTATATATCGGTTTACGCCCGTGGCGCCCGACCCGATCACTAATGCGCAGTCTCTAACTCCGAATATCCAGAACATTTTAGCTTCATTTTTGTACAGTGGGGGGGGAGTGGAGACAGTGGCCATCTTTATATGTGGATGGTTGGAACCTGTTGGGCCCATCCTAAACCAGTAGAACCAGGTGGAACCAGGTGGAACCAGTAGGATCTGGTTCTGATGTGTGTTTGTGCTCCTCATTGTGTTTATTGTGTGTGTCAGAGGGAGGACTCAGAGTCCGGTCTGGAGGGTCGGGATGGAGATGCAGGAGCCCTCCGACTGGAGACAGACAGACAGACAGACAGACAGACAGACAGACAGACAGTCAGTAACAGGTCGATGGAGCTGTCAGTCACACACCTAATTATATGATGCTTTGGGAGAGGGGGCGGGGTCACATGGCGAGGACAGGCGATCTGATTGGACGATGAGACACAGAGTTGGTGAGAGACAGTGACATCACACAGACAGCTGACGTACCATTGGTGAACTCCTCACTGGTCACTGATAGAGATTCTGAAAGAATAACCATAAATGGTCAATATGAGGGGGCGGGGCAGTGGGCAGGGCTACCTGCTCTGACACTGACACACCTGAGAACTTCCTGTTTCTACGGTACTGTTAGAACAGGATCACACAAACAGACTTTTAGAGAGAGAGACAGACAGACCGACAGTAAGACAGACAGACATACAGGCAGGCAGACAGGCAGACAGACAGGTAGACGGACATGGCTCCAGGTGGATGTGGATGGTGGGTTAAATACTGACAGAAAACTGATGGAGCTATGCTAGCAGTTTCCCTCTGCTTCCAGTGTTTGTGCTAAGCTAGGCTAAACATGGCTCCTTTAACTGTTGTGTTTAAGGATGGAGGAGTGATGAAGAGTGAAGATGAAGAGAATGAACTGAGGGAGGAAGAGAGGAAGAAAGAGAGCGGTCTTTCTTCTTCATGTCCGTGCAGATTGTTTGTGGATCACTGCTTTCGTTCTAAAGCACCAACAAAGAAGAAACTCTGAACATCTAAAAAACTGTGATCAAACAGTGTGTGGTACCTGGGGACTCCTGGGGGGGGCGCTCTGTTGGGTCGGGAGGGGACAGAGGGCGGGGGTCCAGGGTCAGGTGACACTGCTGGACGAGACGGTGGTCCAGGAGCCGCGCGACCGCCCGGACGAGGAGGTCCAGGAGGGGCTCGACGCTGGGGGGTCGGACTGGACATGGGGGACCTACAGAGACCGGCAGAGACCAGCAGGGTGTCTCAATGATGCAGATCATCCTCACTGTATCCATGGAGACAGCTGAGCGGTTGCTAGGTTACCTGCGTCCTGAAGGCATCCCCGTCACCTGTAGCCAGGAGTCGTCCACTGGGGGGGGCATCGCCGTGGTGATGGTGGAAGTGCTGATGTCACCGATGATGTGGAGGCCTTCGCGCAGAGCGTGGTACATCCTCAACATCTCATCACGGTGCTGGGCCTGAGAGACAGACAGAGAGAGGGTGAGACAGGCAGAGAGA